TTTGTCTAAAATTTGCGTGGCCAACTTAGCCATTTTTGTGATTTTCGATTTCGAGGTAGTCACCTTCCAAGCGAAGTAGCGTTAATACTATTGCACAGAGGGATATTCATACTAGAAAACTAGTGAAACTAGCAGCAACTAGCACAGTACGATTAGTTTTTATAGTGCGTGAAGTTGTTTCTCAGTAAAACAAATTCATACACATTGTATATGAAGGGCCAACTTCACGCACTATAAAAACTAGAAATTTTTTTGAAACTAGAAATTGCATGAATATCCCCCTGCTATTGCATATTTTCAAAAGCATACAGGTCCATTTTATAGCCAAAGGAACAAGCTTTAAAATGGTATATAACACTTATAGATTTTATATATTTTAGACTGACTTTTTAGCCAAAAACCCAAATCCGGCCAACTTAGCCCCGGTCTCCCCTAATGTTTGCAGTATCTCGACTTCTTGTGCGCATTTAGGATAAACTAAACTATTTGTATATATATGAATAATTTTACATGTTTACAACATTTGTTCAAAATACATGCACGACTTTATGGCAGTGAGAAAAAAAATATCAATGCGAATGCCATATAACAAGTGAAAAAAATCCTGAAAAAGTAAACGGTATATTTTTGTTTTGAGAATATAAAAACTTCTGGCGAAAAAAGCATAATGTGCTTCTCGATAAACAGCACACTGCGTAATGTATTCTGTGCCCATTCAATACACTCGATAATAGCAAATCGAGCAAAAAATGCAAAGTACTGAATGTCCTCTATTTACAGCAGGTGATTATTTTATTCTCTTTATGTAGCTAGCTTATGGGAATAAAAATCTTAATACTACATCTATTTTAACTCTCCACACAAAAAATTATTTGGGTAACTTATGACGTTTTACCTATCAATAGGTAGTGGCCGGTTTAACGTATGAAATCTAGTAATTTTCATGTAACTTGGTAATATGTAGTATAAGTTACGGAGTATACGTCGTGAGTAAAATTAAAATGAAAGACAAGAACCGCGTACTGTAATTTTATACATATTTTTATCATGATTATTTCTTTAAATATTTTGGTATTTTATATACATAACATTATAGAAAAGAATTGAAATTTGATTGAAATTGCTTAGTTTAGGACTGTGGCATCGGGGCTACATTGCATGTTTTTGTGGTTTGAAAAAACAAGGAAGGTCTATCGAAAAAAACAAGGCACACAAAATTTCAAGAATTTCCGATTATAAACAAATTTTCATTTTTATAAATTGACACATTTATCGAAAAAAAATCTCTCTCCAGATATTGAGATTTTTGTATGGGAGCCATCTTCAATTTTTATCCGATCGTCTTGAAAATTTCAGAAAGTTATTTTCTATCGGAAAAAATAAGGCGTATCAAATTTCAAGAAATTCCGACTAAAATTAAAAATTTCCATTTTTACAAAATTCACACTTTTTTGAAAAATTATTTTACTCCAGATATTGGAACTTTTGTATGGGAGTTATACATATTTTCTATCCGATCGTCTTGAAACTTTCAGGAAGTAAGGTACATTTTAGGTACAATTATTATCAGCTATAAAAATTAAAAAAATATCTTTGAGTTTTTTTTTTCGTCATTCTATCACAATATTGAGTTAGCCCGAAATGTGGGCTCAAAATATTATCCAAACGAGTAAGGTACAATTAAAAATAAATTGCGGTACAATTAAGTACATTTTTGGTACAATTATTTAAACCTAGTCCCAAGTTTCGACTTTCACATGTGTGGACATTCGACTATACATCCAAAATTTCAGCAGTAAATAAATATTTAAAAAAATGAGTCATAGTTGACTATGATTTTAAATATTGTTTAAAATTAGATTTTCATTGAATAATTGCTAATAATTTATATTTTAAAATGAACTATATCAAGATCAAAATGTTCATAAAATACAATTAAATGATGATGAACTAGTATGAGGTAGTACTACAATACATGGCAACTACAATGGCGCTTGCAAATTTTGCAAATTTGACATTTCCATTCGAATTTACTCTTAAATACTTTTCTAAGGGTGTATCCTGAATTTATTCGTCTTCAAACATGCCGCACTGATCATCCCACTCAATCGCCATTCAATAATGCTTGTCGTATCTTCAACTATGCTTCTCTATTCATCGATCCATCGTTGCCACACTATCAATTTCGACAAAAGCTCCTTAGTCTCCCTGATTCTGCTTTTGGATCATGGGCTAGTTTGTGAAGCTGATTGCATACATTTGTGATATATTGAAATAAAATTAGAATTAAATTAGGGAGAAAGGCAATGAAAAACAAAACCAAAAAAGAAAGAAAAATACTTTTAAAAAATTTAGTCATGATAATAATTCAATTATTTTCTCATTTCTAGTCTGACTGATTATCAATTGATATTTACACCTAACAAATCATTTATTTTCACCTAAAAAATTATGTATTTATATAATTTTCAACTATTATATTCACCTAACTATTTGATTATTTAACTTAAACTCTTATTATACATATATTATATATATACTCTGTAAAAATACCAAAGTTCAGCCAGCACTTGGCGGTGAAATAAATCTAATCCATGATTGAGGATCTCTTTTCTTTACATTTTTTATGACGTTTTTTTTTTTTGCAATGTCGTTTCAAACAAATTTCAGGCTTTTTAGGATGATTTATGTAACTTTTGATGTAACTTTTAGGACAACTTTTGTTTTTTTCAAGGACTAATTTCGGATTTTTCAGGGCTATTTTTATATTTTTTGGTACTAATTAGGTTTTTTTATGACGATTTTTGTTTAACCCCGCATCGTATGTTGCAAGTAATAATGTTGTCTAGTGAAATACATGATTGTCACACATGATTGATACACATAGAGTCTGTATTTCCGTGACTAAGTCGTCGCTTGCTCAGCAATTCATAATGTTTCAAAAGCGCGAATACAAATATTGTTGAAGAACATTTGGAACTTTGGGTTTTGTCTCTAATGCTGTTGTTGTTCTTGAAGCTTATCTCTTTCTGTTCTACAAAATGAAAATGTCCATCTTATTTTTATTATTTATTGTTATTATTCTGGAAATGGGTTTACTGGACTGAATATAGTCTGATTGAATTTTATACGAATCGAGCATAATTCCATCCTCCTCTTTGCAGTTCTAATAAGGGAAAAATTATTCGGATAAAATTCATGATTGGATAAACAAATCTTTTGGCGTCAGAAAGTTAAAGTTCATTTTATAGTGCCGGACAGAGTGGGATGAATATCAGACGTCTACATAAGACCTCAATAATATTTGTTGGGACGAAGATGATATACATTTATGTAATACAACGGAATTCTTTATCGATCGATAGATTCTTTTTAGTATGTTTAAGGCACATAGTTAATTAGACACAGCTCCTACTAGTCATTTATAATCCAGCGGAATTTAAGAAACACAGAAGTGATTATGCACATAACGAACCATTTTACGTTGCATCGGCGTCGAGGACAATCTTTGATATTCGGTAAATTGAGAAAATTTAATTTTTTTATTTGGACAACAGAAAATATATGCAATGAACGCAGATTATCTTCTGCTGCTCAGAAGTCAAAAAGGCTGATGTCTTTCGATCGGGTAGTGTTACATTGTGAATGAAATTTATATATAAAAAATACATTTTATATCATTTTTTGTAGAAGCATAACTACTGACCACATATTATACTCAAGCTATGGACATAGCTGCTGCTATTTCATAGACGCTATTCAAAGGCACTATTTATAACTCGTGTGTTGTGTATTGTGCATAATTTTCTTCATCTCTCTCGTTTGTATACACTCACATTCAGATAGTAATAGTAGTAATAGTAGGCTATGCTATTCCTGTTCGGTTTTACACTAAGCACACTAGATATGTTAAATAGCATCTATGAAATAGCGGTCGCTATATCCAATATCCATAGCTTGAGTATAATGGCTGCTACTGACAGTAGTCTACTCACTGGACTCTACTGTAGCCATAAAAGTAATTCTTTTTAACTAAGATCGCAAAACTTATGGAATAATAAAAAAGCACATCCTTAAGAATTTCAAAAAAAGGAAGAACCTTTCTTTGAAGATTTTCATCGCAAGAGAAAAAACGAAAGTTGGATATAAAATTGATGACAATATCTCTTTGGAATTCCTTTTATTTAATTTCTTTTTTGTGATTTTACGTCAGTCGTTTTTCTCTTTGAGGGCTTCACGGGATTTTATCCAGTGAATAGATTGGGCTACAGATATAGCAGTGCTATTTTCACAGCTCCTATTCATAGGTGCTATATGGGAACAACGCATACGGACAGCGGATTTATGATATAGTTCCGAACGAAATGTTCAAAATGTAAATAGAACAGACTTATTGATTTTAGTATTTTTTTTGCATAAACAAATCAATAGGTGTATTGTCCGAAATTGTATCATAAAATCGCTGTTCATAGCTGTAGCCCAATCTATTCACTGATTTTATCAAGACAATTGAATCGTAGAATTGTCGGAGACCAATCGAATACCATTAGCAAATTCTAATTTGTTGAAAGGAAGTCATGCGATGCGCACGTCTCTATTTTCAATTTTTAATTTTCCATTATCCGACAGCATTTCACTTTGGGTAAGTATTTCGTCAGTCCCAGTGAATGCTCCATTTTTAATAGTAGATGTTCTCCGTGTGTATACTATATTCATTGCGTTGCGAATACGAACCACACACTCAAACATAAAACGAGATATGAAAATGAAGCTCCAGCAGCTGTAGTGGCAGCAGCAGCAATAACAATAACAAAATCATGTCCACATACAAAGTGGAAAACTTAACACATAGATCAATGTTCTGTGCTTTGCTTCTGTTCATTCTATTGATACCGTTACAACATACTCACAATACATGCGATGAACACGTTGTGCCAGCAGCAAGGATGCTGGGTTTGCTACAGAAGGATGCTGTTTCAGTTGTACTCTTCGCTTTCAAACTGAACAGAACGAAGCGAAACCATAAGAATCGATAACATATATTTTACGAGGTTTGGTCCTGATTTACGGGACTATTTTCAATTGAGTTTATAGATCTCAGTCTCAAGGATAGAACGGTCGTCTTGAAAGATTCATTTTTAAAGCAATGATAATTCTACATGTATCTGCTGAATAATTTATCGTACGAAAATAAACACTAGCATAAATAAAATAGATGGAAAATAATTTGTTTTAACAAATAACCATTAGTGAAAATGAGTGTCAGTGATTGCTTTGATGTTTAATTTGCTATTGAATTGATTTTATAATTGCTTTAAATGCAATTAAGTTTAAAAAATGGAATTTAGAAATTCAATTTTGAAATTAGTTTTTGGTTTTGATGTGATTTATTATTTCTTTGTATCTCTATTGTTCATAGTTGATCTTCACTATTCATGTGAATAAGCAAATACAAACATACAAGGTGGTTTAGAATAAATAACTTTATAGATATGCAGTGCATATATTCAGCATGCATATCCATCTGAGATATTTCGTGTGCTATGTTACTTTCTCTCATTCATTTGTTTCTTCGAACATCTACAGTGTACGCGCATCTTAGTGTGTATCTATCTATGTATGATACAGCGTTCGTGAGTATATCAGTGTATCGTTCCGTGCCAATAAATACCATACCAGAACTATGTGACATTTAATTTGGCATATCAAATGAAATCTGTACTTTTTGTGAAATGAGTGGTGGTTTAAATTTATTTATTTATTTTTTGAATTTTGGGCAGCAAGGTGGTGCAATTTTGTGTCTAAACATTTGTAGAAGGGAAATGTACAAACGGATCATATCCTATTCTATCAGAGTTAATTGTGCAGAAATGACAGATCGTTATCCATAACCTTCAAAATGAATCCGCTGTTTAACAGAGGCCCAATGAGCGGCTATAAGCAGATTTACCAATTCATGAATGACGCAAGCGTGCTGTTGGACACGGACAGTCCGAGTTTTTCCGGGTTAGTCCGACTTTACTTCGAACTTCGGACACCATCTGTTAATATCGGAGCGAACACAGACGAACAGAGTGATGAGCTCTGACTTTCTTGCTCGAGTTTCAAAATATTTCCAGGAAAATATTTGAAGTTTATGACATTTAACATAAAGAAAAGAGACTATAATCATGATCGATTTTAAAAACTCCAAAGTTTACATCAATAATTCATCTTAAAATTCTCTAATATAGTTTTTTTCAGTCAAACATAGTCAAAGCTTGCGCATATTTTTCCATAAGATTTGTTTTTTGTTTATAAGCGCGATTGTAAGGAAATTTTTGAAACTCGGACGAACACAAATCTTAATTTTTTAGTTTCGGACGGACAAAAACGATCCCGAATCACCTTGAAAAACTTAAACTGGTTCTACAAAATTCAAAAAATAATAATAAATAAAAGCAATAAATCTAATTTGCTGAACCACATTAAAAAGAAATCATTTATTTCACAAAATGTTCACAATATTTTTCAAAAACGCATTTCATTTCAGACACATTTCAAATAATTTTAGTATATCTAGATATATTTTCTGTGTACTGTGAATATAAACTTAATATACATTTGTATATTCGGAACGTTGCAGAAATTCTCTCCTTTTTACTTTGAGTTCATGCTGATGCAATGAATCAACGTTCCGAATTTACAAATGTTTATTAAGTTTATATTCACAGTACACAGAAAATATATCTACCAACTATTTTCGTCACAAAATTGATATCAGAAATTTTGTGTTTCAAATTTTGGTTTCGTCACTCGTTCTTCACCTTGATAGAGGTTTCTTATTTGATATCAATAGTTTTGTAAGCGCTATTTTCCAAGTTAAAGATTCAAGACACATGAATTCGAATATTTTTCAAATACAATGAAAATATGGATTTTTAGGTTGTTTTTGGACCAAATTTATACAAATTATGGTTCATAATGAGGAACAGAGGTATTTTTCAGTGGTATGTGGTATGCATATTGTTTTATCTTTGACTGGAGGCTTAAATTGATGAAATTTTCAAGAGAACATAATTATGCAGTCTTTTTCGAAAAATGCCCGTTATGTGTGCGGTCAACGGTCAATTTTTGGTTTTTTGCCAATTTGGCCACCCCCACATGAAATTTTTAAGTCGCAATTGACCCACTTGAGAGCTTACTTTAAGGTCTTTCGAACGAATATGCATTTGTCCTGGTTATGTCAAGTCTAGGTCCCACAGCGACCGTATGGAATAATGGCCATTTTTGCATGACCTTTTTCATAGTTTGCCATTTATACTAACAGTTTTGTAGATTTCTTTTAATTTCATTTGTGACTAACCGCATGCACCTCTCCCGACGATAGTTCACCTTCTGGCCTGGTGGGAGGGAACATAAAATTCGGTATTTTATCGATCTTATGCGAGGAAACTATCAAACATGTAGTTATTTGTTGTTAAGATTTTATATTTCATACATCTAGACATTTTTGTGAAAATTCGAATTTTGGTACTGGTAATGTGTTTCTTGTAGCTTATTTTGACAGCTACGTACAAGTGTGTGTGTTTTGACATTTTACATTATTTGTAGCATCTGTATAAACTAAAAAACCAATGTAATGTTAATAAAACATTTTAATATTTATTTTTTAAATAATTTAAGAAATGTCATTTTGACAATTTAAATTCGTGATTTCAGAGATGAAAAAAGTGTGAAGAATTATTTTCCACTGAAATTTTCAACCAAATTCGACACAATTGCTCTGCACAAAAACAAGCCGAGATTCTGGAATCAAGATAATCATTAGCTTACCGACTAGGGGGTAGACACAATAGAGAATGAATGAATACCAATGAATTGTCATAATACCCATCTATTTTCAAATACGACAATTACTTACTTATTTGAAGATTACTTGTACTAAAAATGTGAATACCGTGATTACCAAATGTCAAATTGATATCGGTAATAAAGATTTCAAGTTTTTTCAATTTCGTTTTAACATTCACTATTTCGAAATTTATTTTAATTTTTTCTGTTTTCTTTCTGTTATTTTTATCAGAATTGTTTCTGCATTTATTAAACCAATTGAAATAATACACTTAATAGCGTTGAAAAAGTTTTTTTAATATTTGGAAGATAATATTCATATATGCACATTGTGAGACGTTGCTGAATGCATTGACATTTCGTCTAAAACTGAGAATACCAAGAATACCAAGAATACCAAGAATACCTTCAATTTCGGTGAATATCTCAAGTAATATTCCATGTGTCTACCCCCTAGCTTACCGAACTAAATGGCAGGATTTTTTAACTTGTAAATTTAGGAAAAAAATTTGATATTCATTACATTTTTAAATTAATAGTGATGTCGCTTTGACATTTTTAAATCTTAATTTCAGAGATGAATGTATATAATCTTAGGATTTAAAGAATTTGATTCCAGAATCCGAGTTTAGTTTTCAGACATCAACGTCAGTGATGTTCCTAAACATCAAATGTAGATGGTGTGTTAAAATCGCTATCGCAGACTTGACTGGACCCAAGGGGCGAAGCAGTACTACAGTGAATCTAATTTTTTTGATAGACAAAATAACAAGCAAAGTAAGCAGAGAAACTCTCCACTAACATAGGATTCATATACGAATGGCGTGTGAGTGGAGTGTGTCATGCAAAATTTTGTATACCAAAAATATTAGATTCACTGTAGATTCAATTCTTTCAATTCCATTCAATTCCACTCAATTATGTTCAATTCCAAATTAAATTCTAGTCCGTGTGTATTTTAACTCATTTACTTCAGCAAATTTTAGGTATTACAAGAAGAGTTTCATATCTATTGAAAATATCGAGAGGAGAGTATGTTTTTATTCAGACATTACTCAGCCATAAGCGCTGAATAACATACTCTCTTCTCGATATATTCAATAGATATAAAGTCGCCATATAGCAGCAAAATGACACTTGCATGTATTAAGCGTGATTTGGATGATAAAGAATGTGAATTTTTGATTCTGATTGAACCAGGCGATACAAAAAATTGACCAGAATTTGACAATTGAAGAAAAAAAAAATTTATTTTTGTCATTTTTTACGATTTCTCGTCATCGTATGAAAAACACGGAAGACCGCTGAAATGGCACGTCTTACGTCGGTACATATTTTGTATTTGCCATTTCAGCGGTCTTCCGTGTTTTTCATACAAGTCTCCTATCAGATAAATCGTGAAAAACGAAAAAAAATAATTATTATTTTTTCAATTCTCAAATGCTGGTCAATTTCTTGTATCGCCTGGTTCAATCAGAATCAAATAATTCACATTCTTTATCATCCAAATCACACTTGGCGAATATAACACGCAAGTGTCATTTTGCTGCTATATGGCGACTTTATACGAAACTCTTCTTGTAATACCTAACATTTGCTGAAGTAAATGAGTTAAAACACACGGACTAGAATTTAGTTTGGAATTGAACAGAATTCAGTGGAATTGAATGGAATTGATAGAATTGAATCTAGTACTGCTTCGCCCCTTGGGTGGACCTATTTTCAAACTTTTATATATTTTTTTGATCTATAGCCCAAGGGCTTTCCAACCATACATCACCCGGGGCCAATGGCCTTCTAGGTCTGGATTTCGTATATTACGTGTATATATAGCGAGTTCAACTTTTCAACACACTAATGTGGTTTCGTCACTCGCGCGAACTGCCGTCCGCTGTGATATGCCAAAGCAAGATTTGGCCTAAGAATTCAATCCCTTGTGGAAATATTTCGACTTCATAGTCGACTAAAAGTTGACTAATTTGGGATGAAAATGGCTGATATTTTATTTAAAGTTAACTATAAGTGACTATATACGTCTTCATGTAACTTGAGTTGAGAAAAGTCGATTGTGATCATAGTTAACTACGGTTAAATATAAGTATATGAAATTGACTTTTGTCAACTATGTTGACTATAATCACTTTTAGTTAACTCTGAAACATAGCCGACTATATTCGATTTGAATCATCTATTGGTAATTTTAACCGAATAAAAAAGATTAAAATTCACTTAATTTATAGTGAGTCAGTCATATTTTTCCACAAGGAGAATTGTAAAAAAGATGCAGGTTTTGAATTAAAACTTTTAATGGTAGAAAGACCATTTTTAATCAATGATCCACACCTTTTC